GCGTGTTGGCGGGGGGCGGTGTGGCCACGTCGGCTGAGGCCAGTGAGAGGACGCCGTGTTCTGTTGACTTACGACTATACAAGTTGCTGGATTGGTACATGTTTCTCAGTATTTGAATTTAGTGTCCAACCTAAGCTGAATGGAATGCACCCCGAGTCAAGGTTTTGGGGGTTAGTTACACAGAAATGTAAACAATTTAAAACCCGTGATTTCATCGTTGTGATGTCATTTGTTGCATCAGGAATCCTGATAATATTGTGTATAAATAATCTTTTACAAACATGATAATGTAAGGCCATAAAGTAGACTAGTTATTATTATCATTATTATTATTGTATTATCATTTGAAATTCTTTGATTAATGCTCAGTTATTTTCACTCTCAGTCGACGTGTCAGTCATGAACAGAGTCTGTGAAGGGTCAAGGATGACGCGGTGAAAGTCACCCGACATAATGTGTCATAATTGATGTCATTAATAATGATGCAGGAGAGGAGCCGCTTCATTAAAGATGTTAGTTACGCCAGTGTTTTTTTCTTTTTTTTCTTCTAACACAAATTGATGTGTTTGCCTTAGAGGAAGGAGGAGTCAATCATGACAAAGTGTATCCCTGTTAAGTGCTCCTTGTCATCTCTGTCACATTAAGGAACGTCCACCGACCGCTGAACCAAGGAAAGAGGAACGTTACGTCTTAGTCTTTGCTGCAATCTCAACATCACGATTCCAGCCTGGATTCCCCTGCAGTGTTCGCTGTTAGACTCTCCGCCTCACTAACCTTCAGTCCCTGTGGCCTTCTCTGAATTTAGATACAGCTTTGAGAGAGACAGAGACAGAGAGAGAGAGAGGGAGAGAGGGCAATATGAAGACAGATATTTTCAAAGATAATTAAGTAGACACATATCAGTGTATGAATAATGCATTACAATTTATATTACGTTTTCTAATTTGATTTGTGTGTCAGAGCATCCTCAATCCATTTTCTGTTCAAGCGTTCCCTGCAGAGACTCGGGTAATGGGGTTTTGCTCTGATCTCCATTGCATTATATATAAAAGAAAAACATATATTCCACATAATCTCCTCCTCCTCCTCCTCCTCTTCCTCCTCCTCCTGTGGAGGAGCGTGCGGTCTCAGGTCAGACGTGTTTACGTTTCTCCTCTCCTCTGACCCACAGATCTACCTGCGCTTCATGGACTACCAGATGGAACACTCCAACGAGTGCAAGAAGAACTTTGTGGCCGTGTACGACGGCAGCAGCGCCATCGAGAACCTCAAGGCCAAGTTCTGCAGCACCGTCGCCAACGATGTGATGCTGGACAACGGCGTGGGAGTGGTCCGAATGTGGGCGGACGAAAAGAGCCGCCTCAGCCGCTTCCGCATGCTTTTCACCTCTTTCGTTGACCGTGAGTGAATGCAGTTTTCTTCAAACTAAAAAAAATGATTTAAAAAAATCAGTCCATGCAAAGTTAAAGTTTTGAAACTTTTGAAGTTTTGAAAGTTTTGTCTTGAAATTCTGAAATATTTTGTAATTTCTGGGGAAGATTTCTTCGATCTTTACTATTAAGCAAGATAGATTTTCATTGTTTTTTTTTAGAAAAAAAAAGATAAACTTAAAAAAAATAATTTGATTTTCCCCATTTATGACCTCCACTCTTTTTTATTTCTCAGTTCACAAAGCTGAAATATGAATTTGGCCACCGTTGTTTTCATCATCAGTCCAACAACCTTTACACCAAACAGTAAATGATGCTTTAATTTCAGCAACGTTGTATTTTTATTTTTATTTTTTTCACACTGGGCGCTCCATAGAATGTGTTTTATAGAGTTAGTTAATATAGATCCTCATTAATTCTGATCACACACTTCATTTGGGAAATCGCTCTCCAATGACTCCCTAACTTTATTTGGTGGGAGTCAGCGACTGGCTCACAGTTTACTCAGAGGTCAGAGGGATCCATTCATCTTTGTCACTCTGACAACAAGACGAGTTCTGCCTTTCACACTCCATCATCCTTAATGTGCCCTAATCCTCCGGCAGAGGCCTGTGGAAACGTGGACCAGACCTACTCAGACTTTCCTCATTCTACGCGCGCGTGCGCTCACACACCCACGGCGAACCTCGTGCTTTACATTCAGATTCAGAGTGTGTTGTGTACTGTTGAGTGTATCCATTTACGGGGGCGTGTGGTGAAACGCTGCTGACGCTTCCTGAGAATCAGAATATTTTGAAGTCGGGAGAATCATAATGACTTCAGAAAGAATCACAGTGGCGACCTTGTCTCGCAGCTAAGACGGATGAAGACGACACCCTCCCACACATGCACTCTCCT